AATTTTATTGTACGACTAGCTAAGGGGGTGTTCTTCGTCGGGATTTGTCTCCAGATAAACTGTTCTAATATATATTCCTGTTGACAAACTTTATATAATTTACAGTCGTGGCACCGCATAATTATCACTTTTCTGCTAAGCAAGGAAACAGAAGTGAACATAGACCGCTTTTGAACTATTAAACTGGTTATGGTCGCGTAGCAACAAAACCAGAGATGAAGAAAACCGGAACACTGTACAATAGGATTTTATGTATGGGACTATTAATTTATTAAAATAATTATTAAATTCGATTTGAGCTTCATGCAAAGTAGGCATTATAGGCCCTATTGAACTGTTATGAATCGAAATTAAATTTTCTCTATGTACTTAAATATAAAAAATCTGTTTCGCATTCGACAATAATATGTTAAGTTCCCTGAGAGAAGAAATAGCCATAGGTTCTCATTTTTGGTACGTAACGTCAAGAAGAGTTCACAGGGGAGGGAGAGTTTTGAAAGTTGTTACTGGGTAATTACGTGCATCTATCTTCCGCTGACGTTAACAGGTAGTCACAACGAGCTATTTTAAATTTCCTTTACATGAGTTTTCTTTGGGCTGTGATGAATTATATCATGTGGTTTGTTCTAAGGGTTAACCTACCTAATACACACGAACTTGTGGAAATACAATTTAATTTTTATAATATTAAAGTACATTTATTCCCGTAGGTAATCGACTTGAGTTTGCGGTGGTCAAAATCGTGTAGTCTTTCCTTCTTGTCTTACACTCTGCATGACCTCGCGCTTTGTTTCTTTTCCTATCTATTTAATCATCATTTATGTATTTTAAAAAACTTTGTGTGATTTCTTATAGATTGTCGTCCAGTTTTTAGGTCACCCTAATCATTGCCTAGCGCCTCCAGATTTAGAAAAATAGTACAGGGACTCTTTATAATTCATTGTCACATGACTTAGAGATGAGGCCTGTCATTCAACTCAAAGATTAGACTTGTTCCGAGTCAGAATTATTTTAGACGCAGCGGATCGTTTAGAGATTTTATATGACTCGTTTTACGGCGGAACAGCCAATCGCAAGGCAGGTCAGTGCGGCGGGGAAGAACGCGGGACTTATCCCCGAGCGAGATCCGAACTCGGGAATCCTTGTTCGAGCAGTTCATATCCGTACGTGCGGTCACAGTGAACGCTTTTAATCAGCCATCAAGCACACGTAGTAAAGCAGTAACTCCTTGAACAAATCTCCTTCGTTATGCATTCGGAACCTTGCGTCTTATTGTTCTCCCTTTTCCTTTCATCTTCAGTTTCTTTCTTCTCCTGCCTTGTATTTCGTATCTTTTATATCTGGGGAATGTTTCATGTTATAAATCTTATTTTTACTTCTTTCTTAAATTTGACTTGTCACATTTTGCCCTACTTTGTTTTATCTGGCACTGTATCGCCTTTGCTGTCTTGCCAGGTGTTTAATTTGCACATGTTTCGTTTCGATCTTGTTTATGTTGCATGTTTTTCTCCCCTTCTAGACTCAAGATTGTGTTGTCTTTCATTCCGATCTTAATCCTTTAAATCACAGTAGTATATACCACGTCCTATAAGATTTAAATTCTGTATTTTACCCACATAATGGATTTATGTATTTCGTATGATTTTCAGAATAAACAGCGATTATTTTCTTAAACAATACTCGCAGACTGGTCCTTTTAATTGAGACGCATTGTCTTCTCTTAGGGGTAGGAACTTAAATGTTACGTAATATGTAGATGAGCTTCGTGTTTCAGATGGTTAATATGCTTCACTTTAATCTTCATTACTCTTTATATTCTTCGTAATTTTCGGTCCATCCGTTACCCCGACTTACTTCATGAATTTTTTATTCTTCTGTCACTATATACAGGTACGTACGTAATTATACACACACCGATGTATAAATATTTTTACCCATTACCCTTCTAGGTTTGAGCATGACAAAAAATTTAAAAAGAAATATCTGGCTGTCCACATGTAACAGTTCCAAAAGACCGACGTCACTTGTTCCATTCTCAAAGTTCAGGAGTCGCGTTATGGAGAAAGTTCCAAGTGTTATATTATCCTGTATTATGGCACACATTTTTTCTTTTCTTTATGTTGTCTGTTTGTGCATCTTATTTTATTTACGTCGTTGATTGATGTAGAATGTTTTGGTGAATTTGTTATAAACTTTATTGTTGTCAACTCTATTGAAATTAATTTTATTACAACAAATTTATATTATTTTGAATGTTTTGGCCTCAAGTAGGCCTGCTAATCTGCCATATAATAGCGTGTACTGAAAGGCTGACTTTTCTTTAAAAACCTTGCACACACGACGTTTCTCGTCTTTTCTTTCTTTCTTTCATTCACTTTTAGACATACATTCTTATAACCAAAAATATCCAATAAAACAAAATAACTTTTATTCTTATTGCCGATGATTCAGATTTATATGGTAACCAAAATATAGCCAATAAGTTTGGTTTATAATCTGTCTACTAGGCCTGTTATGAAAAATGTAAAAGTTAAAAGATTACACCATGAAGACGCGAGGAGAAGTAATGGGAGCTCAAGATGCATGCGAATTGTCAGCTTTAAGCTCTGGCTGCTTTACCTTCGGTGCCTTTTGTGCAATGGGTGAGTGGGCCCCGGAGCTGGTCTGCGGAAAATTAAAATGAAAAATCATTAAATGTTACAATTGTAATATCATTTGTTACATACATATCCTTATATGTTGATCTCACTGGTTGGCCGGTTTGCATATGTTCGGACGTTCGTGTACCATTTCCTACCGTCTCCGTGGGCACGTTCCTCTTTCATTGGGATTGGGCAGTTTATGTGCGCTGTGTGCATGATGGTGCTGGAAGTCAATCGAGGGCTGTGTGCTCGGGGCGTGGTGGTCCAGGGGGATGAAGGGAGGATTACAGTCATCAAGCTCATGATTCTCAGGTTGCTCCCCCGTGATGGGTAATGGGGGTGGAGGAGCAATTATTCTCTCCGTCCAACAAAATGGGTCGGGCCCTCTGGCGCTGCGCTTGTACTGCTGAACTGGCAATGCGGCTGGCGTCGTCTTGCTTTCTTTTGTTTCGGCTGCATTACTTATTGTCATGATGTGTGAGTTATTTAGGATTATGTTATAATGTCCGTGTGTGTGTCTTCTTTCCTACCACCGTTTGAAACAGCCGTCGATTTGTCATGAACCTTGGTATGGAAATCGTACCTTTTATTCCCGATCCTCAGTAATACCAAGACGGTAACTGTGCAGACTTCTGAGGTTGCTGCAGCACTAACAGCTCTTACTGTAGGGTCCTGAAATATTAAGACCTTATTTGTTGTAACACTTCAGTAAAACGTATACTTCGCTTTTGGATTTATGGTGATAATTAAACATGTCATGTAGTAATGTTTCTCCAAATATTTGGGCTGTGTATAATTTATCAATCCCAGTAATTTGTTTGTCGTAATAATTTTCAGAATAATTAATTTTTTACACTATCGTAAAATTACTTTTCAAACAACACGTATAATGTCGACTAAAACATAATTGATAACGTTTTGCTATCTCCCAAGCTTCAGAAAGCGTTTTACGGTCAGCGGAATTTAATGCCCTAAGTGTCTGCATTATGTAGGTTATTTCAGGATCTAAGCCGTCATCATGGGGGCCCTTCAGCTTCGCTTGAATCAGAAGACCTCTGCAGTAGGAGAAGGAGAGGGAAACCAGCATCCGACTGAATTCCACAGTTGAACATTTTGTTTACAGGAAACTCTTTGGTCCAGACATTTATTGACTCAGCTTTTAAGGTTAGGCCATTTATGAACCACCTCACAAAATAATTAACAAAATCAATCTGTAACTATAAAGTATCACTTTATTTGCACAAGTGTGATGGTACTTCCTGTGACTCGGTTCCTTGGCATATCCGCAGTACCAGATGTAATTACTGTACTGACGTAGCTCTCTTTCAGTGCCTTATTTGTTAAAAAACCATGCATAGCTTGAGATTGATATCTGTCTCCTCTTTTTACCCCACAATAAAAGTAAATTTTATTTTACACTTGTTCCTGAACGGTTGTCTAAATGATTATTACAGAAGTATATCTCACGCTTTTTGTGATAATGTAGACGTAATTTTGTTTATCTTTCTTTATAGTTACGTAGTATGTAATACTATTAATATTTTCCATTGATATGACAGTGTATCCCCCTCCTACCTTAATTTCATGCCGTTTGAACCTGAACACGAAGCTTACGTTGTAAACTTTTCACGACTACAAAGCTTATCCGGTAGTACTGCCCCAGGGACGAGCTTCTGTTTCCTGCAGTGCAAAACGTCCTGCTGTCTCCCTCAAGGGATAAATAGCAAAGTGGGCAATTGGCAAAGATTCGGCCACATCGTAAGGGAGTTGATAAAATAATGTTAGCGATTTGATTACTGACGGACAAATGAAGAGAAATGAGCGTCCGTCTCCCATTGGAGGGCAATATACCGTAATGTGACTCAATATGATTTCTGATGTGGCGGTCAGCTGAAATAAGTTAACAGTATTAGTATAAAACTAGTGTAAAGTGAAAATGTAACAAGTTTCGAGTACTTAAACAGGAGAGCAACAGTTCTAAATGACGAGAATCCTATCTGCCTTTCAGCTCAGATTCTTGGGTATTCCAGGATTCAGTCTGAAGACCATAAGATTTAAAATTTATAAAAATATAATTTTACTTCTGGGTTTATACTGGTGCGAAACTTGGTCTCACTCTTAAGAAGAAATGTAGAATGATGGTCGTCCCAGAATAAAGTGATGAGAAGAATACTAGTAGTGCTTGAGATGGCGTAAAAATGTAGTGAAGGACACTGTGTGTTACGAAGCTTCGTAATTGCTGCTCGTCACTTACTGTTGGTGTGATTTTCTGGGAAATCTTCTATATTTGAAGCGGATTCAACTGGCTCAGCATATGGTTCGGGCCAGGCAACTGATCACAGTTCCGTCTGATTTCAGATCCGTACCAGATGTTCGGTCCGACCAGCAGTCGACTGGCAAGCTCAGGTGAGTCCTAGCAGGATGTTTGCGAGTCAGCAGACAACGACGTGTGGGTTAGAAGTGTGTTGTGTTCTTAGAGTTCAGACCAGGCAATTCTATGGGAAGAACAGACGTTCGACAAAATTCGCGTCGTCCTTCGCTTATTTGCTGTGTGTATTTTTACCTATGTACGACAAAAGAAAGTAACATAGGTGTGTTGTAAAAAAGTACTGATAAACTGGTAGACCATAAGGTGTTTTAGGCGAAATTATGCGCTTGAATATAACTTCACGAGCACTGATGATTATTCAGCTGATTAAAGAAATCTCGGCTTGTATGAAACTCTGAAGATCGTTACCGTGTTCACAAGAGCTCACAACTGGTATCTGTCTTCAACTGCTAACCAGGCCTTCTTTGTCAAGTTCCAAAATTCCCGCTACATATCTAGTTTATATCGTCCTCCGTCGTTCCTTTATATTAATAGTACGAAGCAATGCGTAAATGTACGTACATTAGGCAGTGAGAGATAAAATCAGAAAGAAAGGTTTGCTGGTGCGTAATGCGAAATGGAATACAAAATTATGTTCAGAAAAGGCAAAGGAAAAATACAAATTAGGTTATTTAATCCTAGATGGGAGGATAATATTAAATTCAGTCTTACGGAAATAGCATGTGAGGTGTTGGAGGGGATAACGTGCCTGATCTCTGAACCTTCGGTTACCCTGGAAGTCAGAAAACTTCTTGGGCAGCTGAGTACTTATTAGCTTGTCGAAAAGGACTCTACCCATTTAGTTAGATGGTTTCGGCTTTTAATTTCAGTTAGTTGCTTAGTGTTGTTAATTTACACTGTTTACTTTAGTTTATTAATTTATCTATTTTTTACTTTCGTCACTTGCACTCTGCCCAGTCCTTAATGTAAATGGCTGCTGGTTCTACAGGAATTTGATTCCCGATAAGGGCACGATTTCTCACCTCAGCCTACTATTTTCTGTATTTCGGATGAAACAATTGGAACATGAAACTGACTTCCCATCTCCATGTGGTTACCGAGATTAACAGTGCGTGACGCTTTCCCTCCACTCCCACTATGCGCCTTCATGACCTGTCACAGGGCAGCTTTCCGAATGTTGACCGCAAGTGGATTTTACTTTCCCTCGCGCACATGTAATTCATTCTGCATATAATTACAGAGAGACACTTGCCTTTCTAGAAATGAGAAAACTTGACTTGTAAATTTACCCCTGGGACATATCAACCCCTCACAAACAAATTTTATGCTGTCTGATCCGATCATGCATGTTCACGTGTCCTGAGGGGGTTGAATTGTCCTTAATTAACTATAAACCACGCCTGCAAAATTACTTTGTCGTGTGGCATGTGGGAATTGTGCTCAACCCCACCCCACCCAACACTTTTTTGTTTCCTAATTATAAGGGGCAACTGTTTTGAATCAACCGATTTATGACAGATTTCCGCCTTTTCTTAGTCATGAAGCATTAGTTCAACTAAACATACCTGAAAAAGATTTGTTTATCTTACGCACCTGTTTTTTTTTCTGATTAATGATGGATTTGCGTTTCAAGGGCGTTGCAGTGTTTGAACGTTTCTATAAGAGAAATGGCTGAGTAATGAACCTAAATATACCTAATTTATTTCGTATGTTACTAGAATTTTTTGACGTAAATACGTCTATATTTTAGGGTCAGTGTCATTCAGCAAAAGGTGGAACGAAAAAGTGGAACGAAAAAGTGTAACAATGGTTTATCAACAAATAAACAACAATGGTTACCTAGGAAACTTCATCTGTTTATCAACAAATCGACAATAATGGTTACCTAAGGAACATCTATTTACTCGGCATTTTTGTTACCTAGGAAACGTCATCTGTTTACTCGG